TTTTCTCATCATTTCATTATTAATCAAACCATCATACATACATATACGCTCGTAATAAAAGTCAGGCATTATTCATTTGATTCAAGGAAAGAAGATAAATTTGAAAGTTTAGGAAAACTTTGTGTCTGTCTCAATAAAGTAACAATAAAACTCATCTAAAATACTAAACTACGAAATCTTTGTCATTTTGCTTGAAGTAGTATATGAAACTAAATTCTATATTCTTTAAACAAACAAAAAAAAAGAATGAAACGTATATATCCTCTACTAACTCTCTAACTAATGTTGTTTCATTCATTATTATCTTTATTAATTTTTAAAACAAAAGAATTGAAATAAATGTTGGTAAAATTCTACTCTTTTATTACTGTACTTGTTAAAAGGGTTTATAATTAAAACTTGGTAAACGGTCTCTAGCTAACTAACGAAACTTTCATATTTGATTTTTTTTATAAACAATTTCTTTTTCATTTCCTTTTGGCCACTTTTTTTATTATAATAATTTTACTATTTATATTATTAAGATATTAATAATTATTTTAAGTTTCTATTGCAAATTGGTCGTGTTTAAATTCCAATTAATTATAAAGACATACATTTTAATTTAACAAAATTTTAGTTTATAGACTGCAAACAAAATTATTTAAGTACTTTTATTTTTCTTTTAATTACATATAATTTTAAATCAGAGTGAAAATAAACAAAATGCAATATCGATTCTTTTGTTTTGTTCCTTTTCTTTTAAATTGTACTTTTTTATTTTAAGAGATTATTTAAAAGATTTTTATTTTAAGACATTATTTAAAAGATTTTTATTTTAGAAGGGAAAAGGCTGCGTCCACATTACAATTGTAGGCTTTTGGGGTTTTTGTGAGTTTTACTATGGAAAGGGGTATAAATACAAAAAAGAAGACTCTAATGATTGCTAATAAAATAGATAGATAGATAGATAGATAGATAGATAGATAGATAGATAGATTGGTAGATAGATAGATTGGTAGATAGATAGATAGATAGATAGATAGATAGATAGATAGATAGACAGATAGATAGATAGATAGATAGATAGATAGATAGATAGATAGATAGATAGATAGATAGATAGATAGATAGATAGATAGATAGATAGATAGATAGATAGAATAGATAGGATAGATAGATAGATAGATAGATAGATAGATAGATAGATAGATAGATAGATAGATAGATAGAATAGAATAGAATAGAATAGAAGAGAATAGAATAGAATAGAATAGAATAGAATAGAATAGAATAGAACAGAATAGAATAGATAGATAGATAGATAGATAGATAGATAGATAGATAGATAGATAGATAGATAGATAGATAGATAGAATAGATAGATAGATAGATAGATAGATAGTTAGATAGATAGGTAGATAGATAGATAGATAGATAGATAGATAGATAGATAGATAGATAGATAGATAGATAGATAGATAGATAGATAGATAGATAGATAGATAGATAGAATAGATAGATAGATAGATAGATAGATAGATAGATAGATAGATAGATAGATAGATAGATAGATAGATAGATAGATAGATAGATAGATAGATAGATAGATAGATAGATAGATAGATAGATAGATAGATAGATAGATAGATAGATAGATAGATAGGTAGATAGATAGATAGATAGATAGACAGATCGATAGGTAGGTAGACAGATATATAGCTAGATAGATAGACAAAAATATAGCTAGCTAGAAAGAGAACAGACAGACACATAGACAGATCAGCTGATTCGGGCTTGGTAGTTCATAGCAACGTGAAATATACAAAAAATTCGACAGAAAAGGGCACAAAAGAATCACTAGCCCCCATACAAACTCCGCTTTAGAAAATGACAGACGTCCACAATTAATACTGATGGTTATACCATTAGTATCGCGTCCACCTACATAAAGCCTAATATATTATCTCAGTTTTTTTCATCAATAAATTGCTTAGATACATTGAAATTAAAGTATTATTCAACAGATATATAGCATATAGAATAGAAATCATAAAAAAACTTTTATCTTGCTTGTAATTAAGCAAAATAACCTAAATAAAATATTAAACATTAAAAGGACAATTCCCAAGTTTTGTAGGAATTTGTTAATAAAAACTTTACAGTTGTGGGAGAAGTGGCATTAAATTTTGTACTCCTTGAACGGCAAAGAGATTTCAATTGCACACATTTCGCAAGAGTATCTGGACAATAAAAAGCAGTATATTTACAATATATATTCATGGAATACCTCACCTGTTCATAGAGTCCATCGATTTTTTACATATTTTTTTAGATTAAAGCAAATGTTTCCAAACTTGGAAATATATTTTGTTAGAGACAAACATAATAACAGCTTTTAAAATATTAACCTCGTATAACTTTTTTTTCTTGCAAATGTTGATTAATGTAAACTTTTCAGTAGTTTTTTTAAATTATAACAATTTTATATACATTTTTTTATAAAAACTAAAGAGATTTTAGCTGTAACTCCACTTCTTATATTATTCGAACTTGTTATCACTTTATCCAAAGAAAATCATGCTTTTAACTCACTAATTTCACTAATTACAACTTTTTATACATATTTTTTAAGTTTTGTTAATTTTCTCAACGATTTTACTAATTTTAACTGAATTTTTCTTAACAAAACTAATAAAACCGCCATTTATTGTTTTATTTACATTTAGATCTCTAGTAATGTCATTTAACACAAACTTAAATAATTCACAATAATCTAAACATAGAATGTTGCCAGATTGATTACTTTAAACTTAACACTTTCTTTTAAAAATGTTAGCAGCATGGTTACTCTTTACTTAAAGGAAACTACCGCAAAAATCAAATTTCAAATTATGTACTATAAATGATTTATTTATGATTACATTCACACAAGTGTTGGCCTATCTACCAAATTGAGCTCAACATTTTTAAGGCTTGTTTTTAGATTAAGCTGAGCAGATATAATAGTTATCATATATGTATGTGTAGTCTGTATATAATATAATTTTCGCTAAAGATTTTAATTATTTCTTTTATTTCCGTTTGATATGTTTGTTTCCCTTTTAGAGTAGCCAGATTTGTTTTTCTTTATATTTACATTGTGAATGATGTATCTGACAGTCCAAAAAAGTAAACAAAGCGATTAATAAATGGCGGTTTTATTAGTTTTGTTAATAAAAAGTGTAATTGTTTGAAAAATTATAAAATAAAAATGTTAATTGCAAAATAAAATATCGATATTAAAATAAATATAATAAATATTAAAATAATGTATAATTATAACAAAAAATTATATTTGCAAAGTGTTAAAAAAATTTAAGAAAAATTGTGTAAAAATCAACAAGATTGTTGAAGAAAGTTGTATTAAATAGTGTTTTTTTAATAAAATAAAGTGTTAGTGTGGTAATAAAATGAAAATGTTTTATAAAATCAAGAAAACTTATCTTACATTATCTGTCCTATATACATATGTATGTAATGCAGGCATGGATCATGTTTATTTTTTTTTTAAACAACATGGTCCATAGCCTGCATTATATGGGATATTGCGGATCATTTAATCCCGTAATTTAAGAAAGGGAGTAGGTTTATTCCGACGAATTCATGGATGGATTACGTGGTCCTTATCTAGGACATCACAATGTTAAATGGAGTACGTCCTTTGAGGAGTATTCTTTAGACGCGTGTGCGGAGTATTCCCAATTTTTGCAGGGCTAAAGCAGGTGAGTTTATTTATGAGTATTTAAATTTAGAATCATTATCCTTTGGTTAATTATCAAAACTACCGGCTGGCAAGTACCTATTTGCTTATTGCTTTTTAGATGGTCGTCAAATTGGCTTAACCGTATTAATATTTTTGTACGAAAATTCCAATTGGAACAATATTTTAACATTAGTACTCTTCCGGAAAGTAAGAAACGTTATTTTTGCTTTAAAGAGCATTCAGTTCCAGTTCAGTTCTAGTTCAGTTTTAGTTCAGTTCTAGTTTTGTTCTAGTTCAGTTCCAATTGAGTTCTAGTTGAGTTCTAGTTCAGTTCCAGTTCAGTTCCAGTTCAGTTCCAGTTCAGTTCTAGTTTAGACCTAGTTCTAGTTCTGTTCTAGTTCAGTTCTAGTTCAGTTCTCGTCCATTTCTACTTCTACCTCAAAATTTATGAAAGTTTGTATTAAAATTTATTTTTTTTATTAATTTTTTAAATTTATTTAACAATTTAAATTATATTTCTCACATTCGGTTAATATTATATAAAATTTTAATGATGACCGTCCTTCTTGACAAATCTCAAACCGCAATAGCCACAAATATGAGAGCCAGGTTTATCCTGAAAAAGTTGGAAAAATATATGGAAATTTATTTAATAATAATTAATAATTTATTAAGATTCTATTAAATATTAAAATAGAAATATTTACAATAGTTTTTTACAAAAAATAAATCAATAATTAAATTTTTAATTCGACTACAAATATTTGACTGTAGAATTCTTTAAATTTATTCTCTGGATAGTAATTCAGATTCATTGGTCTAACATTTCATTCTAATTCAACTGGAATTCAATTTCTCACGGAAATAATTCCAACAGCAGAAAAACTGTTACAACAATAACAATATAGCTGAATATTCATGGTTCCCACCACAATTGCATCTTTACTCCGGAATGATCTGATTCGCTATCGGTCAATGGTAGTCAATTCTGCAAAGGCTGTATCAACTGGAAGTTACTCCTCAGATTATAAAAGCAAAACCGTTACAACAACAATGTTAGTGCTCCAAGTTAATGTATGCGCTCGCATCTTAATGGTGCAAAACCGGAAAAAACTAAGAACAAAGTAGTGGTTGTGAAGTTTTGTTTTAGCTATAGAATCGAAAAAATTCTCATTCGACGGCCCATATTTAAAATAGTTTTCTCCCACCAATAAACACAACAGTAGAACTGTAACAATAACAACGAACGTTTGACAATGTAACGCGATTTGTACAT